CTTCTGAAGGGTTCTAGTTTAGGAGTTCTCAATGTGGGAGTCATGACAGATGTCAGAAATCACAACCAACCTATCCCTCACATACTGACAGATCGGAGGAGGGTCCGTGTCTAGACCGGTGTAGGAGAGTGTGTGGGGCAGGGCAGTATGGGAAAAGTTGAGCTGTACTGTTGAGGAAGGATTAGCCACATTAAGGTATAATTGCATGATGAAGTGTAGGAAGAGCTGGGCAAAGCAGCTAGGTTTTTTGTATGTACATTTTTTCCCCCCAAATCTAAGAAACTGTAGAATTTTCTGAAATTTGCAACACTCCCCCCCCCCCCAATATTATATGTAGCAGCTTTAGTGTGTGAGTTTAAGGCACTGTTCCTACAATATGCTTCTTTTGGGCAGGCCGTTGTATCCCACATGAGACCCATTGATTTCGGCGGGACTCTGAACAGGGAGTCCATTTGCACAGAACTCATTGCTGGATCAGGGCTTATGACAAAACACTGCTTTCTTTGTGGTAGAACAGTGAATGAGCAAGAGGTTAGGTCCTCCAGTTAGTTAGATGGTCATCACTTAACTACTGTATGCAGTGCACAAAGGGATGGGGGAAATAGTCTCAATGCAAAACAATAAATTGACACAAATCTGACTTCAAGCTTTATAACATTCCAAAACCAGTAGGAGAACACTTCAATCTCCCTGGACTCTCAATAACAGACTTGAAAGTGGCAATTCTTCAACAACAAAAATTCAAAAACAGACTCCAACAAGAAACCGCAGAACTGGAATTAATTTGCAAACTGGACACCATCAAATTAGGCCTGAATAAAGACTGGGAGTGGATGGGTCACTACAAAAACTAATTTCCCCCTGCTGATACTCACATCTTCTTGTCAACTGTTTGAAATGGGCCACCTTGATGACATTGAACTCATTAGCACTACAAAAGTGATTTTCATCCCTTCTTGTCAACTGTTAAGAACAGCCCACTTCCACCTTAATTGAATTGGCTCTGACCCCCAACTTGGTAAGGCAACTCCTATCTTTTCATATGCTGTGTATTTATACCTCTCTACTGTATTTTCCACTCTGTGCATCTGATGAAGTGGATTTTAGCCCGCAAAAGCTTATGCCCAAATAAATTTGTTAGTCTCTAAGGTGTCACAAGGACTCGTTGTTTTAGCTTAAAAAGGGTATCATAGCTTCAGTCAGGCTTTTTCATTAAGTGAAACCTGAGTGCAGCGTAAGTTGAACAAGTGGAACTTTATAAAACCCTGTGGCCTGCTCTGTCCAGGTGATTGAGTTGCTTCCAACCTAAGTCCACTCATTCCCTGTTCCTCTGGTGTCCCCTTAATAACAGTCCCTCCAGGTAATGTGACTCCAGTTCCACTGATCATAACACAAGGCTCAAGATCTTAGCTATCTTCTGGATATTTTCTGGATAGCTTTAATTTGGTCTTTCATTTGGTCTCAGCTGGCTTTCATCTAATCTTTCATTTAGTCATGACTGTCCTCTTTTTTTCATTAAAGTTGGCTTTAATTTGTTTTGGTTTGTGATATAAATCTAATCGTTACTGGATTTAATTCTGGCTACTTTTTTGCTTCCAATCTAAGAAGAGACTTGACAAAACTGAGAAAGAGGTAGAGTCATGAGAGAAAAAGAATTAAAGTAATACGTTCTTCTGGAAACAGATAGGTTATCTGGCCATTAGTCCTGCAAGCCTCCCACAAAAACTTGTTGGCGTGGAGGGAGAATGGGTAGGGCACAAAGCCATATGGGCTGGTAGTTCGTCATTAGACTTGCATGTAGTTTGGCTATATTGAGATTGGTGTATGGTATGCTGTGCTTTTATGTGTAGTTTGGTTGTGGTGTGGCTGCCTTATCCATTTAGGTGTAGTTGAGTTGATACCCTTGCAGTTTTACAGTATTCCTCTTGGGCAGGCAACAGGAATCTTTAAAGCTTTGGGGGCTGTGATGCTTTGGGATTCAATCAGGCCACTAAAGGGTTTAGTCAACATCTGCCTTGCAATTCTGGCTCACAGCCTTACAATCATAGAATATCAGTGTTGGAAGGAACCTCAGGAGGTCATCTAGTCCAACCCCCTGTTCAAAGCAGGACCAATCTCCAACTAAATCATCCCAGCCAGGGCATTGTCACGCCTGACCTTAAAAACCTCTAAGGAAGGAGATTACACGATCTCCCTAGGTAATCCATTCCAGTGCTTCACCACCCTCCTAGTGAAAAGTTTTTTCCTAATATACAACCTACACCTCCCCCATAGCAACTTCAAACCATTACTCCTTGTTCTGTCAGCCTTGACACCAGCAGTAAGCACAAAAGCAAGAAGGTTTCACCTTGGCTTCTGCTGCTCGGTTACTCTTTGCAGCAGGACTTTAGCAACTCTTCCAGCCCGAAGTTTTCCCCAAGAATGTTTTTCTTGACTAAAACGCTCACAAAACCTTATCAAGTTTGTTGCTCCTTTTAAAGAGACAGTACACCACAGCTAGTTAACTTAACTGGGGTTAACACGCTCTAGTTCAATATACAGCACTGAGCTGGTTTATAGTAAGAGTAAAAGAAGTTTATTAAAAATAGAACACATATTTAAGTGATACCAAGTGGGAGGAATAGGAGTAGAAATGGCTACAAACAAAAGTAAAATTACACTTTTTGGACTAAAATCTAACTTAACAAACTGCAGTCTTTTATTCAGAGTAGTATTCTCATCATAGTCATTTTTCCAGCATGGCTAGACAGTCTTTGGCCAGGATCCATCACAGAGCCTGAAGTACTTGGCTTCTTTATCTCCTCGGATGAAGGAGACCAAAATAAATGTCTTTCTGTTTCTGCTTATATCTCCCCAAGTTCATTGACCATGTTGCAAGAGTCAGGAAGGCTTCCTCCTGTTCTTCTCTTCTTGTTGACTTCCCATCTCCCTGATGATTTGTATGTATATAGGGCTTTCATTGTTTTGTTTCCATAATGTTTAATTTACATTGGAGACAGATAGCTGCCTTCCCTCCTGTCTGAGAGAAAACTTGTTTCTCCCTTTGTTTGGTCGCAGATTTTAAAGTCTAATATCAGTGAGTATTCATAATTTATCATATAGTGTTAATGTGTACATTTCACAATGGTATTAATCACCAGTGGGTCACCAGCTTTCATAAAAGACCTCACTCAATACACTTTTATAGTACAGTAATATTGTATATAATCGGTCAATCCAATTGTTTATTCTTTTGAGGTTTAGGCCTCCTGTTCTTCCCCGGGGGCGTCTGGGCCCTGATTGTCAGAGGGACACTATGGGATTCTGGTGGGAACCAGGACGGCTTACCTTCTGCCTTCTTTATCAAATGAATAATACAATTGTACACTCCACCTTTAATCTGCTTCAGTTGTCTTGGCTCCCCCAAATTTTGGATTAAATTCAGAGTCTTCCTCAACTGGCTCCTCTCATGGTTTCCTGCTGCACCCCCAAGTACTGGAGGAAAGAGGGAAAGAGGAACTCACAGTGGCAGGACTACAGGAGGATCCCGTTGATGGTGATGGAGCAGAAATGGTGCCCTCATTTTCTGCCTCCATTCCCATGATCACACCAGCCACCTGCATCGCGACCTGTTTGCACAGTGGCGGAATGACTCTGTGTCACATGGATAGTGGTTATCAGCCAGAACCAGGGGTGAACAGTTGGCCTCTATATTAATAGTATTTTGCAGTTTTATAGCGTTTTTCATCTTCAGAGCAGTTTACAGGCTAACCAGTCCTCCAATGTCTCTTTGCAGAATGTAATAGTATACACCTTTTTCAGATAGGGAAATGGAGATCAAGAGGTTATGTGATTTGTCTAAAGTTGCAAATTGTCAGTGTCAGATCAGGCATTTCCTGGCTCCCAATCGTGTATTCAGTCCAGTAAGCCCCACCTATATGTTAGATGGAATCTTTGCTTAAGTAAGGGTTTTTACTTGGAATGTTAAATCTAAAAAACCCTGTAACATTTTAAATCAATTTATGACCAGGGATTGAACAATTGTCAGAAAGAAAAAGTGTATCTTAGATCTTGCAAAGTTCTGGTGTGGATCAAAATGTCTTGTGACCAAATCCACCTTTCCTAAGAGAGACTGAAACCTAAAAGGCACCCAAAGTACAATTCATGCCACTCATTGGCCCACTTGTCTTTGTTTGTTACCATAGAAATAATGGTGGGAATGCTAGTATTGTGAGTGTGATTGCTGAATATGCTCAGATGGCAAGAGGCAGAAAATAAGGGGTTAATGACAATCTTTTACTGTCTGCAGTGCTTTCATTCTCAAATAATACATTACAGAAGCTCAGGAAAGCAGCTGCCTTTTTGCCATTTTCACATAATTGCAGAATGAAGAAATACTCAATAATGACATTCTTATCAAAAATAAGTTGCTAATACCTGGCCCTGCACTGGAGTGTGTGAGGATTTCTGTTTAACATGATGCACTTGAAATGTCCCCTTTGCTATGATCAAGTGCAAAAGCTACCAGTTCTAGTTAAATGTGGCTATCCTTTAAATCTTATGTATCCTGTTCAAAAACGTAACCCTTGCAAGAGGAAGAGTTAAATCCAGATTCACACTGTACAGAATGCAAACTGTAGGCTTAATAAAAACAACAGCAAAACAGGCGAGCCTTTATGATTGCCTCCTATTTTCTAGGGACTTTTGGTTGTGCTAGTTGTGGGGTGCTCTAATATTACATCCCCATTTGTGTGTTTGACTTAGATTTCTAAAAAGGAAGGTTTTCAGTTTTATAAGTGATCTCCTGTGATGACGTTCCTGCACTCAGCTGGTAGCTGCAGTGAGACTGCAATGGCTGAGGGGCGGCTGTTGGATGTTCGCAATGAGCTCATTCTCCCAGGAGGGAGCAGGGCTTACAGTGTATCACCCGGCAACTGCAGCCTTCCTGTGAAATTCATCTTTAGCTTCTCCTCAGTTAGGTTGGTCTGATTCTTCACTTTGGGGGTGTGAACATGGTGAGCAGATTTTACTGTATGGTTGATTCCTTTCCCCCACCCTTCTTCTAAATGCTTCCATGGACTTATTGATGAATCATTCCTCATCTGGTCCCACTATTCAGAGGATAGAAATGGAAAATGTAATCTCATGCAGCAGGGATGGATTTTTTAAAAAAAGTCTTTTGCAATGCGAATCGTTAAAAAATCCTTTAAAATCTGTCTGCTAGGAACAGCCCACAGTTTTTAGAATGAAGTGCACTGCATACAAGGAATGGTACTATCCTCAGGTAAAGCAGACAAGCAGTGTGTATCATGATGGAGCGTGCCTGTAAGGTTAGTTTCTATACATGTTTGTCAATATATATGTATATGTACGTAATAAATATACGGCTTCATATGTACAGTTACGTAAGAATGATTTATTTATATGTTTTGTCTAATCCATTTTCAAACATCCTGTTTTGCATGCTCTTTTTGGCATAATTTTTCTAATATCAAACATCTTTGGAATGATTAAGAAATGCAGCTACGATTCCGGGCAGCTTTCATTTAGGAAGCATGTAGGCCTTCCTAATACCATTATATTTTATTAGATAAGTAGCTTCCCCTTCTTGCTGTAGCTATTAATTCATAGAGTCTTCATAGAGTCTGAATCAAATGTGGTTGAACTGAAATGCCAGAAACTATGTTTGTAAATACAGATCCTTTCTGCATTTGTGCATGTAGATGTTGCATTATTTTTAGGGCCTTGCAACTTATGGATTATTGTCTCAGGGTACTTCTTATGTTCACTAAATTAATGATTTTGACATTTCCTATTTTCTAAACTCTGACAGGTGCATATACTGCATGTAATGAGAACCATTTCCTATTCTGTGATGTTTAACCTGTTAGATTAAAGGGAAGCTGCCTTTATCCAAATGTTTCCTCCTTTTTGGCTATAAATGTTGTTTATTCCCATTAAGCTTCTTTTCCTTTCAATAAATGTGTCTACCTCTGCCTGGACATTGTTTAAAATGCAGACAGAATCTATACAGCAAAAACATTAGATCTGAATCAGATTGTTTTTTGTCTGTTATTTCTCACATCAGGATACTTTCAGAGAATCCATGCATTGTACAACAGAGTCTACATTTATGGTATTATTCCTGTGCACCGGTCATTCACTTGAAAGATATAGCTGCTTATTGCTACCAGCAGTTTGGACTCAGTTCTCTTGGTTTACATATAATGGGTAATATGTTGTCATAAATGCTGTGCTTTGTTTTTCAGAGTGGGACTGTGAGTGTATTACAGGTGTTTGGAGTACATAGTACAGGAGAATTTGAAATGGGAGCTGTTTTAGTACTTTATTCTCAAAGTTTAAGTTCTGCTTATTTCATATTAGCTCTATTAGCCTTCTGAATTGGAAATGGATGACTGTTCTCTGGAGTAAAATATCAATTGCAAGATGATACAAGAATTAATTCTGAATTTAATTCTTGAATTAAAAAATAGGTTAGCAATTCTACCAAAATAGGGACAGGCACATTCTTGGAACAGGAGAAACCTGCATTTCTAACTAAGACCCTGATTCAGGAAAGCATCCCTATTCAGAACAGCTCTTTAGCATGAGCTAATTTTAAGCCCATGCTTAAGTCCCACTAACTGTTCTGAATAGGAAACAGACTTAAACATGTTTCCTAAATCAAGATCTGTCTCTGTTTCTTATTAAATATTTAGAAAGTGATAGTTGCTAACATCCCCTGCACTGTAAAACTTTCTAAAAAGTTTCTATATGTATTATCCATTTATGTGAGCAAGAGCATAATTTGGCTTTACTCTTGTCAAAACATAATTTTTAAACATTGCCTTGTATTGCAGTGGGTTCAGATTCAAAACTAATTGACAAATTAGTACTTACAGATGAATGCTTGTCTCAATAACAGAATGCTTTTGAATAATGATTCCTTCATTTTAACACCTTCCTTCAAAACATCTGTGTTTATCCTTTTGAAGGAAGGTGACAAACATCTCAAAAGTTTGTAGGTGTGAATCTTATTTTACTATATAAGTAATTAACCCCCCTGGTTCAAGATTTCCTTTCATGGAAGGTGAAAAGAAAAAATGCTCAGAAAATCTTGCGTAAGCGAATTGACTTGAATCTGGGATCTAAACACATCTTGATTCAATAAAGTAGCCAAAATCAATCTGTCAAATAGTCATAACATGGTTGGATTTTAACAGGATTGGATAACTTTATGACCAATAGTAACATTTGTAGTCAGGCATCTTGTGATAAGAGTAAGCCAGATATAAGCTAGTCGCTGTAAAGGACACTAGGGAATCAGTCTTGCCTTTGATCCCCATCTCCATCTCTGTAGAACTGGCTAGGAACATAATATGTGGTGAGGGTTGAAAGGAAAGGGGAGTTCACCTTCTTCTGAAGCTTCAAGTATTGGCCATCACTGGAGGCAGGATACTGGACCTGATAAATCAATGGTCTATTCTGGAATGGCAGATCTTATTTTCCTGTGTTGTCTCCTATGGTAAAGTCCTATTGGAGTAGATAGAGACCAACCAAACATAAAAAGAAATTAGATAAGGTTCTATAGAAATTACTCTTTAATAGGGAATGGCATCCTTCCTTTTGAACCATCCTATCCAATTCTAGAGTAGGGTCATAATTTTCTATTATGTTCTATAGGTGGTCACAAAAATCTATGACACATTATCTTGCACTCTTAATTTGTCCAGGACCATTTCATAAAGGGTTCCTTATTAACTGATGACACTGAAGAAAGGCAACAGGTTCAGTAGAGTCCAGCAATTATCCAGCAATTCAATTATTCCAGCAATACTCTTTAGTCTCCAAATGCAACTCTCACTTTTGTATTCTATACAAAAAGAATTAATAACTGAAATGAAAGGGTTAATTAAAACATGAGAAAAATAGTTTGGGGGCGAATCTTATTTCTTAAAATAAGTGCTTATGGGTTTTTTTGGGAAGGTACGTTGGCATACTTCAAAACAACACAAATGGATGTTCTTTTATATTGTAATTTCCACATTGTTCAACCAACCCCAAAATCAAGGGACTTTGACCAAGGGAATATGCAAAAAAGGGGAATTATCTTTCATAGGAACTGGCTCAAGATAATAGGTTAGCTTAAATTGGGAAATGTATGGATATTATCACTTGGGTTTTTTTTTCTGGATTCCCATTTTCTCCTTTTCTAGATCCCACCCCAAATCCTCATATTGTAATGCCAACTATAAAGGCTGAATTGCTTTACTGATGAGATTGCTGGTTACTTTACAGCCTGTAAACTTGGGGCTACTTAGAGGTGCTCCAGAACAGTGGCCTCTGTGATTCTCCTGGACTTTCCCAGGCTAAGATGCAAGTGTCCTGAGATTTAATTCAAATCTGGGTCATCCGCATAAAGCTAGAAACCAAGTTACATCTGTTGTTTCATGAGAATTATTTGATCATAAGCCATGGCTTGAATGTGTTTCATGTATTGCTAAGGTTGCTGTGGAATTACTGTAATCTAATATTAATTGAATAGAAGACTATTAGCTATGCAAACCTGATATACTATTCAGTGATATTTAGACCTGTCATCTGTCCATGGTAGCCCTGACTTCTATTTCAACCCTTTGTGCAAATCTGGATAAATGTAATTAGCTGATGGAACCGGTACTTTGGATGCACAAAAACTTCTCTTGTTTTTGCTGATGCTGCTCTCTTTTGCCTTGCCTGTCCCTTGGTTGCATAATGGATGTGTCCCTTGGCACATGCCAGAAATAAAGAGCAGCACTAATGAACTCAAAATGGTATTACTATACATTACTAGGATGTAAATCTGAATGAGATTCCACATTAATGGTGCTTAATTTTCTTTTAATAATTAAGCTTGAATGGCCTAATCCTACCTACTCCCATTTGAGCCAAAGGCAAAACTTCTATTAACTTCAAAGGGAGCACGATTGAACCCTAAAGGTGAGATTTTTTTTTTCCAGAAAATGCCTAAGGCATTTATGAGCACAAGACTCACTGACTTTAAATGGGACTTGTATTCCTAAATCCCTCTGTCACTTTTAGAAATCTCCCTCTAATTTAACATTAAACTTATTTTATCCCCATGGTCTTATTAGTTCCTGATGAATAATACTAAAGAGTCTGAAAATATATTACTTTTTTCCTTTCACTTGGATAGTGCCTTAAAAAGAAACTTTTACATTTAGGAAAATAATGTTTCATATTTATTATTATTACCTATATTAGTGTTTGTAATCTTAGTGTTTGGAAGGGTAATCAAGATGGTAAAAGATGCAAAGATAAAGATATTCCCTCTCCCAAAGCTTGTACAATCCAAGCCCTGATTCTGCAAGGTGTGCAACACAGACAGATCCCTGTGCCCATGCAGAGCCCTGTTGATTCCATCCACATAGAGTTAGGGCTAGGGAAGTGTTTTTTCTTAGGTCCATGAAATTTCATTTAATTTTTGCTGAGATATAAGCTATTAAAATTTGCTATTTTCTTTCTCTTGCTTGTGTTCCTCAGGAAAATTTTGCTTATGCCATTTCCAAAGCACCACCACCAGTAGGCACAGTACTGAGAACTCCAGTGAGCTTCCAGACCATTTGTAGTAGTAGAGGGCAGGGGGAGGACAGCTGCACTCACCTGGGCCCCAGGATAATTGCACAAGGGGGCAGAATCTAGGTTGCATGAGGAACTGTAAATCTGGTATTTCCCAACTTTCAAGTATTTGATTTTGCAACCTAAATGATATTTTTAATGTCCTTTTTTGGTATGTATCACATACTCTACAGATGTAGCTAGCATTACAACTGTACAAAGGCCCACATCTGTAAGAGGACTTAAGGCTTGTCTACACTACCGCATGAGGTTGGTCTAAGATATGCAACTTCAGCTACATCAATAGTGTAGCTGAAGTCGAGGTACTTAGATCTACTTATCACTGTGTCTTCGCTGCGGTAAGTCGACAGCTGATGCTCTCCCGTTGACTCCGCTTGCGCTTCTCATTCTGGTGGAGTACGAGAGTCGACGGGAGAGTGCTCAGCGGTCAATTTATCATGTCTGATAAATTGACCCCCCCGCTGGATCGATCACTGCCGGCCAATCCAGTGGGTAGTGTAGACAAGCCTTCAGGCACCGAAGTCAAACATTTAGGGGCCACTGAGTTCTTGACTACACTACCCACTGGATCAATGGGCAGCAATCAATCCTGCCGGGGTCGATTTATCGCGTCTACTATAGATGCGATAAATGGACCGCTGAGCACTCTCACGTCAACTCTGGTACTCCACCAGAACAAGAGGCGCAAGTG